TCGCTGAATTCCTACCTTGTGCGGAGAGTGAAACAGTACCACATAATCTCTTAATGTGATCAAAGCATCTCCTTTGGTATCCACACGCTCTTTACTCTTATTGAATCAGATAAGACTCCAGATACCACTTTCTCCATTTCATCTTCTCCTTGCTGGAAAGCTCAAGGACTCGCGTAGCCTACTCGCACTCCCAGTCTCCTACGGTGCTGTGGGCACAGGATCCGCTCATCAGTATGCAAAACCTCGGCACCAAAATAAACTGTCTCCCAGAACACTAAGCACCACTGTGTGGTCTTTTCCTCCCTTATCTTACTCAGCTGAACACCATCAACACAGGTAAACTGATAGGGGCTGTAGGTGAACTTGAGGAGGACGATACAAGACTAAACGTAAACACTGATGGCTGCAGAGAAAATCCCTTTTGCTAATTATTCTTTTTAAACATCAGCGTGTTTACGTGTGTCCTCATTTCACAACCCACATGCAGTGGCATGCAGCATATTGTTTTCCAGTGCAGATTTTAGCCAGCTACTCTCCAGGCCCAGACCTAGAAGGCTAATATGATCAGGAATGCACTGGGCATTGCTGTGGATCATATATTTAGTCTCTATCAACAGAATGACTCATGCGTGGTAATGGACTGAGTCTGTGGAATTCAAAATACATGACCTTTAAACCTCCTCATATGATCAATGCACTATTATCTACGCCTCAATTATGATAATTAAAATTAGACTTGGTACATTACATTTTTGCAAAAACAAGGCATCCAGCTATAACGTCACTACACTTTTTGGGGGGGCACCACACAAAATTAGAGCAACAGCAACAAGCAGCAAACATTTACATTCATGGGAAAATGTTGTAATGTGATGCAAAATGTAAAAATACTTTGCTGTAGATATGTAAACATCTGTCATACACTTGTCAACATCTTGTCCTGTTGCTTCTGGTTACAAGTCACTCACATCATTAACAGAACACACAAACCAGGACGAAATGTGTCTGTCAAATGATTGTTTTTAACAGGGACTGAGGCTCGGCTGCACTGTGTGTCAGCTGCGACTGCCCACAGAATTAATGTAACGTTAGCTCCCACATTTTCAATGCGGAGCAGCAATAAATCCAACAAGTCAAACACACGGCTACACTCAAGCCAACTTAGTACACCTTGCCTCACAGTAACAGCTTTCTGTTCTGGTTACGTTATAATTACTGTTAAGCTAGTTGTGTCGTCTCTGTCCTTGCCTGATTCACAAAACCGCAAATTAGCAAAAAAAAAAAAACAACCCTCAATCTTGGTAACATTGGCTTTCTCGTGAGCGTGTCCTGAAGATATTCACATTTTAACAAGAGCTTATAATTATTATCTGTATACTGATTAAAAAAACTACTCACTCAGTCACTGTTTGGGGGGAAAATGATGGAACTGGGCCGATATATCCACCCACCAACGAAGATATTTTCATTGCAGCAGGCAGCTACAGTAACTGGATCGTGCGGTTGACAAGCTGCAAGCATATCACCAAGCAACAGTTTGAGTGGCGTGGGAACGACCAATGAAAACTGCCAAAACGCTTGTTTTCATGCTACCGCCCCCTGGACTTGGACCAATCAGAGAGCGGAACGGCAATAAGGGGGAGACAACTCTGTTGTGGTCTGAGGGTGTTTCGTATGAGGTGGGATATTATTGTTCTAATTTCTCAATTATATAATTCACAAGATCACACCCTGCTTTCAGTATCATAACATAATTTTTCTGAAGGACATACCAAAGTACATAAAACAGTAGAAATACTACATCATAAGGACTGTTTAAAGTAACAAAATTAGAGCACAAGATGTTTAACTTTGCCTTGCTCAAGGGTAGCATACAGAAATTCACACCTCACCATTGTTCACCTCACCATTGTCTACAGGTTGCAGTGTGAGAAGTTTATGGTATGGTTTTAGGGCATTTTTGTACTGTTCTTTAGAGGAAACACTGCACTTGTGCACTCTATCTGAGGAAAAAATGTGCAATGAAAAGAAGACATCTAGAGCTTGTGTGCCACCTGACTTTGTCCAATATAGGCCCACAGATAATTTCACACAGATAAAGCTACAGACAGCCATGCAAAAATTCATTTTCTTCAGTTAATACTTTTGAATTAATTCTCCAAGTGATCATGTACCTAATATAAATAATTATGAACTGTTATGAACCATGCTGCCACCCACAGGATCAACCTAAAACTGAATACGTTTCCCTTACAGTTCACTGTGGCGTTTACAGTTGTTCTCATCTACTGCAAATATTTGTATGGGGTGAGTTAAAGAAAGTGCATTTTGAATAAAATCAAATGATTTAAAATATCTATGATATGATGATCAATCAGCATGAAATCTTACATACAAAAAGTCAGTTGATAATCTCACTGGCATACATGTATAAATGCTTCCCAAGGAGCCACAGGCGTTTAGATGAATCTTTCATGGATTCAGGACATCTTCATCCAGCGGGCTTTTTACTGCTATGATAATCGGGAACTGCTTTAAAAATGTGTGAATTTGTTTCTCTGAATAGCACTTTTTAGCAATCAAAATCTTAAAATTAAATCTTAATTGATCACAGTCACAACAGAGCCATCCCCTTAATACTATTCCTTCATAATGTTTTTTTTTTAATGATAATGAGATGAACTATCCCAGAGCAGCTCAAACACTCATTAGTCTGTCAGCATGGGGCAGAGTGAAGTAAACACTCTCTTTGAGGTTATAATATTATAGTAGTATTATTACAAACCAGTGCTGAAGATTTCGACCCATTTCCAATGAGAAACATCTGAAACAGCTGATAGTTCCACCATACATTACTCTGCATGCAGGACATACATGGGGATGCCTTTGTAAAGAAGCAGAGTGCTTAGGAAGGTCAAAGCAGCTTGGCGTTGTTCTACAGGTTGCTTTTATAAGTCCAATGACTTGAGTCTGTGTTCTACATTTTAACTAATGATGATGACGCTGACTAATTATAAGGGTGAGAAAGTCCTATTACAGTCTGTAACCGCAGGAACCGCAGTATGTTAGATGCACAGATCAGCCGACACAAAAGATAAAGGTTACTGGGCAAATAGAGACTTTTTTTAATAAAAGTTAACAATTAAGTTACTATTCCATCCTGGAATTTATTCTAGACTAGTGGTTAATTCATACAACTGTTAACCTATTAGTTAATGAAAGATATTTACAAAATACAGTATCCACTTTCACAATGGTCCTGTATATTCAAAACATGGTTAAATGCCTAATTTGGGCACTCCACTACTCCATATATCATTAATTTTTACATCACTTAACCTTTATTTTTAAATAAGGTATTCAGTATATAGGTTTTCCTAAATACACATTTAACATTGTGTGACTCCAGCTGTGAAAGCATGGAGGCAGCACAACAGCTGGCTGCAGATTTCCTGTGACCTATTGAACCATAAACAAAGGACCACCGACAATGACCTCAGCAAGGTGGAGGAAGTATTCAGATCTTTTACCCAAGTAAAAATACCAGTACAACAATGTAAAAAACACTCCAAAGCAAGTAAAAGTATTACATTAAAAATGTTACCTCAGTAAAAGTACAGAATTATAATCATGAAAATGTACCAAATGCATAAAAATGACCCCTGCAAATGATAATATAGCCTATATAAATATATGAAATTACTGAATTATTATTACTGATTCATTAATGTGTAAGTAACATTTTACTTTTGGAGTTGGTTGAGATGGAGCTATTTTTAAGTATTTTACATACTGTTAGATAGTTCAATCCATGAAAATGCTATGTATTATATTTTTTGAGATGATCAGAATCTCAATTTGAAAAGTCAGCAACTGTATCTGCCATGTTCAGTTAAAGATACAATATTTCCTTCTGAACTGTTTTGGACTAGATTGGAAGTTTCAATTTGCATAAAATTGTACAAGTACAACCTTAAATTTGCACATAAGTATAGTACTTAGATTAGGCTACTTTGTTACATTCCACCACTGCCATACAAACGATTTAGGTCTAGTCTGACTGAAACCATTGAAGAAACATATTTGCAAATTAGATTCATTTTAAATTAAAACACAGACATGCCCTTTTTTCCTTCAAGTCATGCGCTTTAATTGAATATAGAGACATTTTATTGCCTTCGGAGTTTTCATGTGTGCTGAGCCCTGTATGAATATTGGGACCGATGACATATGTTTGATATTGCTAGAATAATCTAGAATTTATAGGAACATTGTGGGTGGGGGAAAACACACGAGTTTGAAACTGACGTGGGACAGTGATTGTGACTCATGTGCTGTTATTTGGCGATGACGTAGCTCTTATTTTAATTGACAACGCGCTGTGATTCTGCAACAGAAATGTTACCAACTTTCATTCCAATTTAAATTTTGTTATGGCTTTCGTTTTTTGTTTTTGTTTTCTAATTTGCCTAGATTATTTTTCGTTTTGAGATTTAATATTATAATATTTAATTATCTGTTTTGTATTATTCTATTTTATTACTGTAATATATTTTATTATACACACATGCAATTATATGGTTAATAGCCTATAACTTCTTTATTTATTTACTTTTTCATTATTACTCAAACCGATGTATTGAGTGGTATAATTCAGTGGTAGGGTTTTTCTCCCTCACATTATCTTTGTTTTGAGTTGTTTATGCAAGACGGTGTCAATGGTCCGAGTTTGGGGGGACTTTATCACAATTCAGACATGCTTTTTGATCAGTTTGAAGCACAGCAGCAGGGGATGCATGAGAAAGACCTTGTGAAGACGAGAGAAAGCGAAGATGGTTAGCTAGGGTCACTTTCTGGAATCCAGAATAACAGACCGAGTAGTCCAGACGCTGATTGGATAAAATGAGTAAACATTTACCTGATTGGCTGAAGTCGTGAATATTGTGAGAAGTAATTGGCCTACCGCTCTGCACGTCCAGCCCGTCTCGCTGTCTTGCTTGGCTGTGTTCGTCGTACAATACTATCTTTGGCATAAATTACATGCGTGTAAGCATACACTACATTCGCGAAAAAATGGCAGCTGACGATTAGAGAGAAGTGTGTGGATCTTCACTCGAAAAAAAGACGGCACTTGTAAGTTTTTTCTTTAGACTTAACAATATAGAGTTTCGGGAGAATGTCAGACAAAGCTACGTGAGCTGGGTTATGTGTAATTCCCCTCGATAATGTGGAAGAAACTGCTCTCAGAGGGTTAACGATAACGCTAAGGTTAGCCAACCTAGTTATTAGCCAGCAGTGGTAGCTAGCAAATCAAGCAGTCCCAGTTGTCAACATTGGGTCCAGACTATTACCTGGAACAGTGTTAGAGTTAATGTTACAAATCAGAAACGGCGTTCGAGTGAACATTCAATTACGTTATATACAATAATAACTGTTAATAACTAGTGTAACGTTAAATACAAAGTACATTGACCTTATACTCGGCATTTAGCTAGCTTTGTTACCAGCTAAGTTAACATTAACGTTATAAGGCTGATGTGAGGTGACCTAACCAGCCAGCTAACAGTTAACGTTGATAGGTGGGTAACTTAGAGGAGGTGAGTAAAACATTGGGAAGTGTGCAGATAATGGTCTCCTGATATAAGGCAACATCTTCATTAAGTTAGAATGTTAGACATTGTAGGTAACTTCGCTAATAACCAAATCCAGACATGTTAGTTTGGCTCACAGTACGGTTAGCTTCACATATAATCATCCAAAATGGCTAATTGTGTCGTCAGTGTTAATGAGTTAGCCTGTGTTTTTACTGTAAACGACCCCTTCCCGTTGAAGACACGCAGTCTGTTTTTTTGATCGTTTTGCACCCCAAGATGTAAGTTAGGACCTAGCTAAGTTAACTCAGTAACAGTTAACGATAATTCACTCAGGTCTCGGAGGTGACAGATAAGCGTTTCACCGTCATTTTGATATAACGTTAACGGAGGGAATCTACACTTATTTACAACCTTGCGAAAAAAACCTCCATGCACTAGGCTTCCTGTGTCTGTGGGAGTGTGCATTACTGGAATACCACTCTACTGTACACAGAAAAGAGGTTCTGGCATGTTGTACCAAAAAGTCTGTTTTCCCTTTGCTATCAGCAGCACCATGTAACTTACCTTTAGTTTCATGTGGCTCCCTGCAGGGTGTTTTCAGTGTCTCTTTTTGCTTCTAAACTAGTTATTTAGCAGAAAATCAACAGAAATATGTAACACAAGTAATTACAAGTAACAGTTATAATTTGATGACTTTATCAATTAAAAATTAGATACATTTGCTGTTTTGAGGATCTTAAATGTGGGGATTTGTCAGCGCTATACATAATTATAAATCTAAAGTAGTTGGTTTTTGGACTGTTTGTCTTGACTAAACAAGTATTTGAAAATATCCACTTGAACTCTTGAAAATTGTGGTGTTAATTTTATAATAATTGTTTGTAATAATGATAATAAATATGCTAATATTTTAAGTGAAATCATTAGTTGCACATTCAGCCCTATGTTGATTCCCATCATACGTGCCTTATATGAATGGAATAATCTCTTTATAACGGGGTTTGTGTGTATTTGTGTGAGCTGCATTTCATCTAAAATATACTCACTTTATTTTCTTTTTTTTCAGAACAAAATTACACAGAAGTGGACTTGGTCACCATTGGTTGTCATCATAGTGGAAGTGTCGCCATTGGTCATCAGTCATCATGGGAAAAACTCCACTGAAAGGCAAGGGGGTGTCATTTTACTTGATAAAGTAATGACTTTGTAGGGTGGGTGGAAAAAATCGATACAGCACAGTATTGTGATATTTTCCATGGCAATACTGTATCGATATACGGACGGCAAGTATCAATATTTTATTATATAAATTGCAGATGGGACTTTTAACTTTTTGGCACTAGAATAATAAAATCTATTGCTTTTTTAGTCCACTAGAAAACTTAACAGGACCATATAGAGGACTGAAAAAGTGATATGAAATGTATCTTTTTAGATAAACAGATGTTGACAAAGTTTGACTTTAGGAACCTAATTGGAAGTTGGAAAAAGGTAATAAATTGCAATATATCTCAATATATAATAAAAGACAATCGAATCGCAACATAAATATCGTGATAATATCGTATCGTGGGGCTTCTGGTGATTCCCACCCCTATGACTTTGTGTTCACAGCTTTGCAGGGTTTTAAAACATTTGGCCAAATTTCCCTGCATGTGTGTAAAGGTTTTGTGAAGTTATGAGAGATTTTTGAACTTCTGTAGCAATCATGTCATTATTGATGTAGATTGTCTGCTACGTAGCAGAAGGGAGTTACAAACTCAGTTTCACTCTATAACCTGTTGTATTGTGACAAAATAAATCTACCTATTAGTATTCTATTACACTCAATTTATTTCTAATTAAAAGCCATGCATACCCACTCAGGTTTATTGATAGGATTATAGACAAAGTTGGGCAGATGGATGCAGGGATCCATGATGTCCTACATGACAGACTCTATTTTGATTCTATTTGACTGTATTTTCATTGTACATATTTGTTGTTGTTATTATATTTAATTGTATATAATGTGTATATATTTATTCACTCATCTACGTGGAATGCTAACTGATTCAACAGTACTTTTATTGTATTTTGTTTTGTTCCTCTTTCCTCACATTCCTCTGTACTGTACTGCCAACTTGAATTTCCCCTGTGGTCGATTATTAAAGGACTATCTATCTTATCTTATCTATGTATTAATGATTAAGGTGTGTACATTTTCCCACTCTTGAGGAGAGTTCTAATCAAGCACAGTGAGAGAAAACAAATGTGTGGGTATACAATGGGCCTGACAATATGAAGCTTCATTTGTGTCATTACGATTGCTTTCACGGGGGTACTGAAGACATTTCAAAGTCAGCTATTTGTTCAGTTATTGTTAAGATTAGTTAGAACAATTTTTGTGTTTTAATGCGTTTTATAATTTGTTGTATTTTATTAATTTTTAGATCAGAAAGATGGCAAAAAAGAGAAACTGGGAAGGACAGTTCCACCAACAGGTACAACCCCTGCAACAACTAAAGGTGAACGTTTGATGTTTTGTGGTGTGTCTCCCTTGATTTGTGACTCTTATTTCCTTAGAGCACTTTGGTTGAGACAGTGAGAGCTGTGTTAGAGGTGTGATGGGATCTCATGGTTAAAGTTGTCCAGGTGAAAAGCTGTCTCACAATGTCAGCTTGACGGACCTGGTAGAAAGGATAAATGGTGATAGACAAGACACGAATAATATGTAAGCAACATTTAGAATGCACCTGCATTGTTTTTGCATTTTGTGACTTTCAGTCATATATTTTATCTTTGAAGATTTCTTACAAATAGTGTTAAAATATCGTCTCGTCTTGTGAACCAAGTGTATCGTCACCCCTAGTGTTACAGGTGGTGATATTGTGACATTCTGCTTTAGCATTTACTGGATTTTATGTAATCTTTTATGAGCAAAATATTTAATAGGTTTCATTTTATTACAGTCAAAACATTTACTTTTTATGATTTTTTTTTTTTTCTTCAGATGCTTTCAGCTGGGAAGAATATCTAAAAGAAACGTCATCTACACCAGCTCCACCAAGCTGTTTTCGTCAGGTAAGTCCACCTGGATGTTTGAGGTGTTTCGTAATTACCGTGGTTCTGTGAATTGCTGAGTAGTGCAAACTGGATTTGTCCCATTACTCAGAAGTTCTGTATGTATGACTGTGATTGCAACAATGTCCACCCCCCCACCTCCAAAAGTATACTATCACACAGATTCATACTTCTTGTCTTTCCTGCACAATTAGCGTACATTGTAACAAATGCGCTAACGCATAATTAACAGTTAGGCGACATTGTCATAATCTGGCTGGAGCTATGGGTTGAATAAATAATGGTTTGTGTGCAGTGTAGTTGAGAATTGCTCACAGTCTCAGCACTTTTCTTAATATCCGCAGGCCCGAATCCCACCATCCAACGACTTTAAGGTGGGAATGAAGCTTGAAGCCCATGACCCTCGCAATTCCACCTCAGTTTGTATTGCCACTGTGATGGGATTAACTGGGGTTCGTCTGCGTCTCCGTCTGGATGGAAGCGACAACAGCAATGACTTCTGGAGATTGGTAGACTCCTCTGATATCCAGCCCATCGGCACCTGTGAGAAGAATGGAGACATGTTGCAGCCACCTTTGGGTGAGAACGTCAGGGGAGGCAGGATGGAAGCACATTGTTGTTATAATCATTTCAGGACAGTAAAGGAAACCTCCGTATTTTCACTCATTACTTGTGATTCTCCACAAAACAGAACAAAAGTTTTACCATGGCAGATCTTTCATTTAAAATTCAGTTACCATCTTTGCACTTGTCTGCTGAACCACCATGGAGGGTCATAAAACATGTGCAACAATGAAAGTAGTAATTGTTAGACCATGCTGTAAAACTGTTGAAAGTGAATAATTATTCATCATACGGGCATAAATGATTATGATTGTTCATGTTTTTATTTAGATTCTTTGAAAGAACCAGAAGTTAACAGAAAATTGGCAGGAATGTTTTGTTTATATTGTAATAAATCTAGAATAATTAGAATTAGGTGTGTGTGGGTGTGTGTGTGTGTGTGTGTATGCATTGATGAATATTGATTAAAAATATTCAATTAATTAATAGAAATTATTTTCTAGTGAAGAGTTTGAAAGTCCAGTGAGCACTGTATTTATCTGACAGAGTATACTGATGCCACCTAAAAGTAAAGATTAGCAACAAAGGTATATCACACTGTGCATTATTTATACTGTGTTTTGAATGAACTAACTACACTTTTAAATGCTATTACATTTTCCCCTCCAGGATTTCGGATGAATGCCTCCTCGTGGCCCATGTTTCTGTTGAGAACCTTAAACGGAGCTGAAATGGCACCAGCAACAGCTTTTAAAAAGGTATGCATTACTTTAAAAGGTTTGGAAAGTCTTCTTATAAAAACAATATGCCGCCATCTTACTGGCAGTGTGTGTGTATTTAAAAGTTGTCGCAGTGAGGATATTGCACTGGTTTTCAGGAACCTCTGACGCCCTCCCAGAACAACTTTAAACCAGGCATGAAGCTGGAGGCTGTGGACAAGAAGAACCCATACCTCATCTGTCCTGCCACCATCGGAGAAGTGAAGGGCGAAGAAGTGTTCATCATGTTCGATGGGTGGCGGGGTGCCTTTGATTACTGGTGCAAGTATGACTCCCGGGACATCTTTCCTGTGGGCTGGTGCTCCCTCACTAAGCACAGCCTCCAGCCACCAGGCAACAGTGGTATGTGTTCCCCTCTAGATGGCAGTACACGCCTGCACATACAGGTCTGAGGAAGATGTTATTTATAATCAATATTTCCTTCATACTCATTTAGTTGCTGCCCCATTCAGGATATTGCCCCCACAGCTAGAAAGATATAAACACAATTAACATTAATCATCTGGTTTTGTTGCTTAGTCTGGCAGAGTAAAATATACACAGCCTAATCTTTAACAGGTGCTGGCCATGTGATGAAAGAAAGCATGAATTCTCCCTCTTGATCTACATGTGTTCTAATAACCCATATTAACACATTTCCCAGAGGAGGTAATGTAATTTCTGAATGGAAAAGTTTCTGCATTTGAACGGGCATGAACATAGATTGACAGTTCAAATGAATAGTGTGATGGTTTTGTGGTGTTTCTGCAGCTGGGTTGGCGTTGTTAGAGTAGATGTTCTTAAACAAAGGTAGCAAGTATTAGGAGTTCTCATTGTCACGGGTTAAAATCAAGTCCAACGCATCGTGTCACCTCATATCCAGGAGGCTTCTTCAGCTCTGACTGGCAGGGAATCCCAGCTATTTAACTTCTTACCTTAAATCAGGGAATGTTAGGATAAATGTGTATTCTCCTGATTAAGACAAAAAACTTTTCTAAGCTCTTTTCCATGTTGTGTCTTTTCTGTGGATAGATTCAGGATTTCTTTTCTGCTCCTGAGTTCCCACAGTGAGTTTAGTTGCTTAGGAACAAGTTTAATGTGGTGTTTTCAGCATGTTCCTCTTGATAAACGGTGGGGGGGGGCATTAAAAAACAGTGTCATGAGCACTGAGCCAACAGTCGTAGGAGACATGCTGTGTGTTGCATGTGAAACTCTTGCTCTCTGTCTTGCTCAACTGCGTTTTTGTGTAAGACTCTGGACGGAGAGTATCAACCACAGAACACATCAAGGACTTATAAACAGTTGATGCTACACCCCGACTTTGTTTTCTTTTTTAATGTACCAGCACGTGCTCATGTGTGATAAACCCTTAAAGGTTTGGAGGAGGTATGAAAGGCGCCGTCTCTCAGTCTGCCTTCTCTGACTCCTCCTCGTCAGTTTGTTGAGTGTTTTTGGGGAAGATTTATTTATGTGTGGGGATTGTTATGGAATATTGATCACATACAGGAACAGAAAAAGATTTACTAGCTGTGTAAATGGGCTGTTGCTTTGTGTTATTTGTTAAATGTGGTGTAAATGTTTTAGCACGTTGAGCTACGCCTTTACTCTGTTTCTGGCTTTGGCTGGAGGCATTTTTGTTATTTGTAGAGAGAATTCACAGTACATACATTAGCAACAGAAAAGGCTGAAGTGGGGATTCCTCTTTTTGAGGATGAGAGAGGTCATAGACTTATGTGCTTTGATTCTGTGCAGTCAAGAGTTAGCTGTGATTCTGTATGATATATGTAGTTTAAATGTATCTTTTTTGCAGATGTGTGGGATCATTATCTTTAGAATTATATTCAGATCCTTACCTTTTTGTGTAAATTGCTCTTTTTTTCCTAGCCCAGCAGTCCAGAATATGTCAATTAGCTAGCAGAAAAATGAATTGTTGTTCTTTTAAAGGTAGACAATCTTAATACAAATTAGGGACATTATAGTTTGAAAAGAGCATGTGCACTAGGCCTCACGGCTAACTAGTTGGTGTTGTAAGATGGCTTTAATAGTGCTGATGAAGTTATTAACAGTTAAATGCACAGTTCCAGATATCAAGTCAGAAAACGAGTAATTGGAAATGCATGACATACATTGGAGCACTTCCCCTGCTATTTCCAGTAATGAGATGCCCTGTCCAAACCCGGACTGGCACCAGACCATCTCTTTACTTTAACTTTAATCCCAGCCACCAACAGCAGCATGGCGCACTGTGGTGCTCACTGGGTCAAGAGATAATGACGCATAGTTTGTCTCTCTAATTAGCCAGGAGAGACTCTACAGTTATTGGACAAATTGCAAACCATTCTTCATTTTTATTATCCTCTGGACATGCCTACCGAGTTCAAACAAAATCTTTGGAGCCAACAGGCCACTGTTAATGGCCTGCCAAGACGTTTTATATCCATGTTTTTTTCCTTTTAGCACAGGGGCCATTAAATTATTATCACATTCAGCATGAAGTCATATTCAGCATTTGCATATTCATCAAGGAACCATTTTCATTTACAGTACTTGTATTACTGTCTACCACGTTTCCTTGAACTCTGTAGAAGAGTTTCTACTTATGTGTCGTCTCTATTAGCCGTCTGTAGCTACAGCAGAATCCATTAGTTCTGCCGGTGCAGATGAAGGGTTTTTGTTTGTTGGATCTTCTTATGAGTTCCTAGTGTGGTAGCTCAGTTTTTTAATATCAACTCCCTCCATGCCAATTGTGCTGTTGTCTGCTGTTACAGTTAACCTGCCAAAGGCCCTGCAGATTCTCCCAGCGTCCCCCTCCAAGCCCAACAGGCGTTCCATGCAGTCCCCCTACAGACTCCCCAACCCTCTGCCGCCTTTGCCTGTCAGGAAGGGGGTAAGAGGCCGTCGACCCAAGAGCGAAACCATCGCTCTGCTCAAAGCTGTGGCAGAGGCAGCAGCCGCCCAAAACGGAACTGTTCCTGAAAACACGCAGCTTGTACCTCGGCCCCACAAGAAGAGAGGCCCCAAACCTGGAAGCAAGGTGAGGCCCTGCTGAACAAGCCCAAACTCTGACATATTGAAACATCAGTGAATACTTTTTACTGCCACATTCCTCATGTTAAAGTGTGCCTGCAAATGAATGTGTATTCTTCAGAGAAAGCCCAAGATTCTCCAAAGCCCGGCCCAGCTGCCCAGCATCCGGGTTCCACAAGAAAGCCCTGCAAGCCTCAGCTCTGTGGTTTCAACAGGTAAGGATTCATAAGTCGCATGTTATGCACTGAATTAAAGCTGTCATTAGAAGGCCTAATTTGTTCACTGTGTTCCTTGTGTTTTGTGTGTTGTTCCAGTGTGTGTGTATGTGAATAAGCATGGGAACTGTGGTCCCCACCTGGACAGGAAGCAGATGCAGCATCTGCCTGACCACTTTGGGCCGGGGCCCGTGAATGCCGTGCTCCAGCAGGTGGTCCAGTCATGCATAGACTGCGCATACCAGCCTAAAGTCCTGCTCAGTGCTCTGCAGACTCATTCAGGAGGAGGAGAGGTTGTCAGAGGTAGACTCAGACAACACCAGTTATTACAAGTTGTAAAATAATAATTGAAATAGTTGAACAACTAGATGGCTGTACAGGTAACCACTAAAATATGTTGCCATTTGTCCCAGTGAGAACAGACGGCGGAGTTCGTGCGGTCACTCTACCATCAGCCTCCAGTGCTTCCTTTGTGCTGCGGTTCTTGGAGACCATGTGTCGTCACCTGCAGTGTGACAACCTGTTCAGCAGCCAGCCGTTCAGCCACTACACCGCTTATGACAGGACCAAATCAGGTAAACCCTGCATTCAGGAAACATCACTGCTCTATCAGGGATCAGAGTTTTTAGAATAAACTAAAACTGAGATAAATCTAGGATTGTCAATAATTGCTTACACAGCCCAATATGGCCGTCACATAAACCTAACTTATTTTCCCAAGCAATTTTGTAGACTTTAAATTTAGCACTTGTTAGTAATGCATCGTGTGTGTGTGTGTGTGTGTGTGTGTGTGTGTGCGCGCGCACACACATAGCGTAGTCCTAGGCTATGTGCTAAAAAAGTTTCTATGTTTCAGTGAAAGAAGAGGCGTTGGACACTCCATCTCTGGCTCGGGGCAGCAAACGGAGTCTCTCTGGCGTCTCCCCATCGTATGCAGCCCCTCTATCACCCAAACATTTACGCACCGAAGCTCACCCTTCAGAAGGTACAGCTCACTTTGCAGATGTTTTTATACTCAAACACAATTTCTGTTTTCAGTTACTGCCAGCAGTAGGTCTGACATCAGCAGATACAGTTGAAACCAGAAGTTTACATACACTATATAAAAAGACACGTATGCTTTTTCTTGCCCATTCCTCCTGACAGAACTGGTGTAACTGAGTCAAGTTTATAGGCCGTCTTGCTCGCACATGCCTTTTCAGCTCTTCCCATAAATTTTCAATAGGATTGAGATCAAGGCTTTGTGATGGCCACTGCAAGACATTGACTTTGTTATCCTTAGGCCACTTTGTAACCAGTTTGGCAGTATGCTTCGGGTCATTGTCCATTTGGAAGACCCATTTGCGCCCAAGCTTTAACTTCCTGGCTGATGTCTTGAGATGTTTCTTCAGTATTTCCACATAATGTTCTTTCCTCATGATGCCATCTATTTTGTGAAGTGCACCAGTCCCTCCTGTAGCAAAACAACCCCACAACATGATGCTGCCACCCAAGTATTTCACAGTTGGGATGGTGTTCTCAGGCTTGCAAACTTCCCCCTTTTCCTCCAAACGTAACGATCAGCGCCGCTGACAGATGTAGTTAAAAGTAGCTCTTGACATCCTGAAATGTTGGATGATCCCATCCCATCACTCCTCGCTCAGAATCTGCATCCACACACATCTCCGTACAGAAGTAGCCGCCATTGATCCACAAAAAACCATAATTAAAAATTTGGCTCTCTTTCTCCTCATCCTCATTATCATCTGCTCACAAATCCGCTGGCTTCCACTGCACTTCAACTTAGAAATGAATCTGTAAACGCTGCTTCAGTGACTTTCATGTTTACTTCGGTACAACACCGTGCTCTGCTGACATCTTTGTTGTTGTTCTTATACGCACGCAGGTCAGTTCAGAAATGTGACCAGTTCACACCGGGATCTGATATTAGTGGCATTTAAAAAATAATGTGCCAAACAAGAAAAATCGAGGTTTGCAGTGTGAATGTAACCTAAGTTGTACTTGAATGTTGTTCTTTACCACTTTCAGATCACACATGTGTATACTGGACACGATGATGAGCGCGTGAAACTTTTAAAAAGTGACACTTGAATGTCAGTTGTGTTCTTATCTCTCTAGCAGAGACCCTGCCCCACGAAGAGAACGGCCTAATAAAGGAGCAACGCTACATGGACTCAGCCTCAAACTCCATGACCCCTCGAGCACAAACAGTGCGCAGTTCCTCAGAGTACCATTCTCAGGCCAGCAGCATCTACCACCCCGGCAACGGCACACCCATGCGCCGCCTCTCCTCCAACCTCGCAGAGCTCTGCTCCACACAGCCTCTCAGACGAGTTGAAGGTACAGTAAGAATCTGTGGAAGCAGATGTGTGTAAATGCTCACTTCCGCCTAACATGCTCTGTGTGTGTGTGTGTGTGTGTGTGTGTGTGTGTGTGTATGTTCTGCTTTGGCAGCAGCCAGCTCCACCACAGGTCCTGAGGCTGTAGTGTCTGAGCGGGAAAGTCTGCAGCTGCCGAATAAAAACCCCTCCTCCTGGTCCATTGAAGAGGTGATGCAGTTTGTGAGAGATGCTGACCCCACAGCTTTAGCTCCACATGCGGAACTATTCAGAAAACATGTAGGTTTACTTTTACTATTAAAGTATGTTAAACAGTTTGTGTGCTTTAAGGCTCAGGTCCCCCTTGAAATGGTCAATTGTTAAACTAAAAAGGACCACGAGTAATTTTTTTTTGTCTATTATTAGCTTTGGCTACTGTAAATCATGTGGTCCCTCTGCATGTTATTTTAACAAAGTCCTATTCTTTGTGCCCACAGGAGATTGATGGAAAAGCTCTGATGCTTCTACGGAGCGACATGATCATGAAGTACATGGGTCTGAAACTAGGGCCTGCACTGAAGTTATGCCACCATATAGAGAGATTGAAACAAGGCAAGCTGTAACAGCAGCCAGGGCAGCCCTGTCCCTGCCAGACCCATGAGCAATAAGCCCTGATGAAGCCAGCATTTGGACACTGACTCATGGGGCATGCGGGAGCTACACGCTAGACTCCACCTCGTGGGACTGATGTTACGACTTCATCCTGACTCCAGAGTGGAGAACGTGTGCTGTGCGTTGCTGACACATTACCTCATCCCCTCATCAGTGAACAAAAAGCTGTTCAAGTCTAACAGACGCCATGTGACTTTATGAAATCCCAAAGGAAAAGAATCCCTGTAGTGTTTACATTGCATAGCACATGTGCACACGTGGACACGTTTTTTTTTTACGGAGATGAAAACTTTTGATCCTGGTTTTGGATCCCCAAAGATGGAGAATGTTTCTTCTTTATATAATGTTTTTATTCTTGATGAATTTCCAGTTAAATAAGGAAAGGTTGGTATACTGAAAAACAAAGAAAAAAACCCCATCATCATCAGATGTTCTTCCCCATGCTCTTCAAGAGAATTTGGATGCTGTTGTATAGCTGTTTTAATATGTATGCCACAAGGTATATCTTCCTACACAGTGCTAGACAAACAGTATCACGGTAGGGGTCATGCTGTATTCTGACATTTTTGATTGAACCTTTTCCACGAGTGTCCTGCAGGATCATCTGCTGTGTGGCATGATGTATTATTGTGTCTTAGTGGGCCCTACGTTGCCTTCCACTGGTCCCCACGCAGTTCTTCTCAAAGTCAAACCGTTTGCAACCCGGGCTCTGAGTTAACTGTGAAGTTATGGGTTTATCAATTTCAACAGACAGATTGTTAAGGAAGTGCAAATACAACATTTCTAAGGGCTTTCTATGTTTAGTTTTTATGTAATATTTTTATCAGTCATAATCATGTAAGCTCGTCGGTCCGCCTCACTTTTGACCGTTCCAATCACTGTTAGCAATGAAAACAGATATGTACAGTTTTATGGGTTTAACCATGAATATCAGCGACAGAATGTACATTTTGTAGAAGCGTAATATTTTAAGGAAATCATATACACACGTTAGAAATGTGAAGATAAAGGGGATGGGGATGTGGTGAATATTTCACAGTGGATTCCATTCTGCTTTTTAACACAGTGCTTTTAGTTCAAATACTCCCAGTAACAGACTCTGCCTTGCTTTACCTACGACATTTCTCAGGTTTATGTGATCTTTGTTAGTACAAGCTTTTGTAGCATACTGTTTATAATATACTTAACAGAATTTTCCTGTTACACCCTTCCTAGATCGGAAAAAAGACTTGTGCCATATGATATTCAACACAGGATCGAAGTGCTGTTGATTTCCCTCTCTTGCATCTTCTTTTAAGTACTTGAAAAATATGTGTTGCTAAAAGTCACTTGTCCATTATGTCACACCAGATAAACATAAATGTGTTTATGATGTGTAATTCCTATTTTTTTTTTTTTATAAACCTACCAAAAACAAAAGGCTGTGCTGTGTGTTGTTACTGATTACAGACTGAGTAAAGTAAAGTTGTTGAATTATCTTATTTGAGTTTACCAGTTTTCCAATTGTATATAAAACGAGTTTTGCCCAGTAAGAACTGCAACTTGAAGGACAAAGAACAATAATCAAAGTCCAGCTTTTTCCATCATTAAACCCCTCACATCAGTCTTGGAGAGCTTGTTTTGAAATGTTACCTCTCAAGCTTATGAAATAAGCCAGGCCTGCGTGTGTTTATTTATGACATGAAATATAAGACAAAAAAATAGTCAAAACAATTTGAAAAACATGTCAGGGACTTTGAAAAATTATTCTACCAATAAGGACTTGTCAGACTGTCTGCAGTGAAAGTCTTCTGGTTTTGTTACTCTGAACATTGCAGTGAAGGGAAAAACTAATTGGTGGGGAAACTACCAAATTATTACCAGCAGACTCATCTGCATTCTGAATTTAAAACCATTGAGTGTCCACCGTCAACAGTCTGACTGACAAGCAAACAGCTTTACGCTGCCTTTTGGGTTGGACTGAAAAGGCAGCTTTTAAATGGTTGAATTTCTGAGCTGTAGATGAGACGTGACAAACCATTTCCACATCAGTACACTTTATTTCTGAAACCCGTCTTGTACCAGGGTTTCATCACTGACAGTTCAGGCAGTGTGTGTGTACCGACTATTGTAAACATCCCTGGTTGGCATCCAGACATTTCCGTCTCTTAAACTGCAGCGCATTTGCTTACACACATGAAGGACTGATCCAGTTTACTTTCAAGCCGCCTCCTTTCAGTTACCGACCTGCTCTTGATGTTGGGCTGTTTGGTAGGAATGAAGGCTGAAGTGAATCAGAAGATAAACCGTTTGAATACTAGCCAGCCTGTTTTGTTCCACAAGATGTATAAAGGGTAAGAATGTATAATTGACTGACAGTGATGAAACATTTTTGTTTGTTTTTTTATGTGGGATTCTTATCTGATTGCCCTTTTCAGATTTCTTTAATGAGTAAATTCTGACATAAGAACATTTTTCTTGGATTTCAAACCAGTTACAAAAGAGAAAAAAAGAGACGTGTTTCAGATAAAAATGTACCATTGTCAAGGAAAAGGCAAAGACACAGATTTAGACCTTGGAGATTTTAGTTCACTTCCATATAAAAAGCACACACACTGTACAGTAAGCAAACATTTAACTGCCAGCACATTTCACCTGGTGGTTCTTCACTGACATCTTCATTAGAATAAGTTTTCTGAAGCAAAAAGGTGCTTCAAAAAGGAAGCTGTCTTTTTATATCCAGTCACACTTTTGTCTCCTGACTGATATATACACAGATCATATAAATAAAAAGAATAAATTAGGGTGACGTCCTGCACAACCAAAGTAATCAGTTCAAACTACTAAAACAAAGAGCTCTGTGTTGAATTGGACTGCAGACATGATATAGGTAAGTAAGATATACGGGGAAGTACATCTATATAAATAAAGAACTGGTAAAATGAAGAGCTTTTGTATTTCCCACGCCTCCTTTGCTCATCCAGACAGTCTGCATATGGCTGATATTAGTCCTTGGCCTATGATTTACAGATTTCATAAATGCTGTTTTAGTAGAATAGGTAGGACACCCTGTAACGCTTTCAACTAAACTATGACAAAGTGCACTCAATAGGATAAATAAACTGACACACAACAGTGCTCTCACATTCACAACTCTGATCATGATCATGGGACAGACAAAATACCATGCTCCACAAAACAATAAGAATGACATCAAACCACTTCGGACTAATGCTTTACGCACGTACATTTCAGAAAGGGGGCTCTGCAGTGTCACCAATACTAATTCTAATAACAGACTAATAACACACTTGACAAATATATGAACAGTATTTTCTCTCACTGAAGCCGAGAAAATGATTTCTCCCTTAATCTGGCTGTTCCCTTCACCTTCAACCCTGCCCCCCTCCATATTTTCAGTTGCTTTAGCTTAAGTGGGAGAAGTCAATATCAAAACTTCCACCAAGATTCACTTCATCAGTCTGTTAAAGGAAACAGCAGGGGCTTCTGGTGTTTTATACACTTGCTGCGAGGTGTTTATTCAGCTTTGGCTTGTATGTTGAAGCATGGGCCAAATTAAAAAGTGGCAAATACAGCCAGCAACAAGCAAAAAAAAAAAGCTCTTTTCCAGAAACACTTTCCTGATATTTGGACAGGCCAGCAGAAATGTCTGATTAAATGTGAAAACAATTAAGACATCCCTTTTTTTGCCTGCTGTTTAAACAAAATAAGAATGTATACGACGGCGGTTGCCAACATTCATTTTAATGAAATTGTGGCTCGGGCCTTGCCAAGTCATTATTAGCCTGTCATGCTAAACCCCTACCAATCAGAAGAGAATGAATCGCTCCAGTGAGCCACTGATGACTATGGGAATTTCCGACGATGGGACGATGTTTTAACAGTCTCGGTCACGTCCTGCCAGTACACACTGCTCTGCTCTGAACAGTGAGAAGCTCAACTATCAGGTTTTTTTTAGATCTTCAGTGCACTTAAATAAAAATTACATGTGGAAACAAACCACGAGCCAAAACTGAAAAATGGAACCCATGTGTCTCTGCTGTAATTATGAAGTCAAAAATTTTTCTTCAACATCTCTGATTCATAAAGACAATCTCCAAAGCCACATGGAGCGCCCATTAAGCTGCCATACACAACAACATTTCTGCTTTAGGTTAACACTGTAGTGAGTAGTGCATTACAAAAACACAGCAGTTCAGAAAGGTCCAATGGAAACATTTCTGTAACCACTGTGTCACACTGTCAGACATTCATGAGCCTCAGTTTACGGAGCCAAACTCGGAGCTTTGATTGAATATGTAAGTGTATGAGTTTGATTACAGAATGTCCCGGCACGTGTTTTATGTTACACGCTCTGGAGGGATTACCAGAGAGTGGTCCAGCAATTAATCCCCCCTCTGCTGAGAACTTTCACTTCCTGGGCAGCAATGCTGCAAGTCTCTGCTTCTTCATCGGAAGGAAATGGATCTCTTGAGAGCTGACCTTCTTCAGCTTGATAGCTCTGCTCTTAGGAACCTTTTTAAGCGGGTTGTTGGGGTCGTGCTGCTCCCCCTGGGACGCCGACGGCACTGCGTAGAGCTGCTGCAGAGACGCCCCCTGGCTGCCGTCCCGTTTGATGGAAAAGTTCTTGGTGGAGACTCCTGATAGGCCTTTTATCTTTCCGCAAAGGATGGCGGGGATGGCGTCCTTCACGGAGACTATGACCTTAGCCGTCTGCGAGGTGCTGACTATCTCAAGGTTTCCGGCTCTGCTGAGAGACGCCTCCTGACTCAGAGAACTAGACCCACTGGCACTGCTGTCAACCACCCACTTGCGCTGCCGGCTGAACTCCAGTGAAGCCAGGCTGCCCAGGAGTTTGGAATCTAAACTCTGAGTGCATTCAACACCCAGAGACAAAGACGTACCACTAGTATCTTGACTGGAATGGAAAGCTACTTCTCTGTCTGACTGAGCGCACTTTTTCCTCACACCAGGCACTGACAAGTCGAGCACACTGTCCTGCTGCAGACTGGGGTATTCCACTTTTAGTTCAACTGGACATGCTCGGACAGAAAGGTCCAGAGCCTGTCCTTCATCTAGAGGAAGCGAGGATGGGGACACGTTTTGTGGCTGGAACGACGGCATGCATCTAATTGAAGACAGCGAAGGAGAGGTAGTATCTTTTGGAGAAGTCTGAGTGCTTTTACTTACAGTGCAAACCGGTTTTGGCATGTTCCCCTTTGAGTCCTCAGTCTGAGGGGCAGGAATGGGGATGGGAAGAGGGACGGGCAGAGGCACTGGCAGCGGGATGATGACTGGGTAGGGAACTAGAAGCGTGGCAGGAGGGACTAATGGGGCCAGAGGGGAGGCGTAGGGAGGTGTGAGGGGAGGAAGTGGGAAGAAGGTAGAGCCTGGCGACTGACAGGTTGATGAACCTGCCTGGGAAGGGAAGAGATCCTGCAAGATGGCTGCAAAAGCTGGATTCTGCAGGAGAGACAGCAGGTTAGCATCCTGCGTTTGTCCTGCTGACTTCTGATCGACAGCTGGAGGTAAACCGAACGTCAAAGGATTCTGACACAGGACGTTGTTCTGGAGGGGCAGCGGAGGGCAGGTAGCGTTCGGAGGCATCACAGAGGGACTCATGTGTTGAATGACCTGCTGATCCAAGACCAGGGGAAGTGAAACTGGGCTTTGGCTTGTTATCAAGTATGGTGCTGCCCCCATTTGGCCGAGCTGAGGCCCGGCTGCTCCAGTCATCTGGAGGTGAATCGGAAGCATCAGCGGGCTCTCTCCCAGGCACACTGGGTGTAGTACAGTTGTGGCGACTTTAAGCGCCACCCCTCCCGGAGATTCAACAGTGGCACTCACCCCTGAGGGTGCGGGAGGCTCCACCAGGTTAGAGAGCGCTCCTTTGCTCAGTGCTGAATCAGCAGGAGTGAGTGGATTTTCTCCATCCTCCACTTTGGTGGGGATTTCTCCTCCTCCCACCTCAGGGTCGCACACGTCGGTCTGGGACTGTGTCATGGTTACAGACACCTCATCACTACCCTCCATAGTTCAGTTTGAAGAGCCACACGAAATCTTCATCAAGCGCTAGTGACAGGTCTCATCCATTATTCTTGCAGGCAGCTCTAAAACGGAGGAAACAGAGACTTTAGTGATGCCAGTAGTTTTAAAAAAGTGTTTCAATGTGGAAAATCTTACATATGTCTCTGGAATTTGAGCAGCATCATTTGAAGGACACTTGCTCCATGTTATGTCTAATCCAGCTCAGGAAGGACTTTTTAACAATTGCTGCGAAATATTCCAGAGACATACTGCTTCAAAAAATACCGCTGCAAAGGCTCCCTGTTAAAAAACTCCAAGCCCATAATGTAAAACTGGAGGAGTCCTCCTTTCAATAATGTCCACCCAACTGGCCCCCATCCTACACGTTTACT